TTTAAGCAGCTTTTCTGTATTTTATCGAAACAAATGACAGTTTATGCTTCTCTTTACTGTTGGCAGGGATCAGATTGGACAAAAATATGGACACCTGAGACATTTTTTGTATAAAACTGGGAGAATTTGGGGGGATTTTGGACAAATCTGCTGGGACAGGGGACACAGGGCTCAAAACTGGGGCTGTCCCGGGTAAATAGGAACGTCTGGTCAGCCTCTTGTTAGTTCCTCAAAAACTAGTTTTGTTTCATTCACACATGTTTAAATAATCCTTTATCATTACTCTGTTTACATCTCCAAAGCTCAAAATGCTCTGTTCCACCTTGTGATGTCACGTAGTTTTCAAGTTAACGGCTCCTTTTACTTTTCGGTTACATTTATACTAAAACAAATTACCATATCCGATTTGCGTCCAGACAAGTTGTTTCTGTGTCTGAAAGTCTTCCCTGTCCACACAGCTTTGATTTGTATAAACTGAGTTCTCAAAAAAAACAGGTCGCTCTTGTGCGTTGATGCGGTTCAGCTTCTGTTGAACTATAGGACACGACTCAGTGGAATATGAGTGTTCTTCTTCCTGTGACAGAGGGGAGTTCTGCTTATGGTGAGTTTTGTTTGTTTGTTTTTTATTTAGATCCCATTAGCTACTGAAGAACAGCAACTATTCTTGCTGGGGTCAGTAACATCAATCAGTGCCTTTTTCTGCAGGAAAACAGGATGTACATGCACCACATTTGTACTAACGATGAAAGGTAACAACAGATAACAAAATATACAAATAATCATAACAATTGATACACATAGATATACATATACATACATACAACACACACTTGCACATATACATACATATATATATCCCCATACATGCATACACCCATATATACATATATACACATACACATATTCATATATACATACACATACATATACACACATATACACATACACATATATATACACATACATGACATACACATATATAATAGCTCTACTTTTCAAATCAGAGACAACTATGGAGTAAGAAAGCTGTCAAAAATATTCGTGCGCATAAAATAGAAATTTCGTGCATATTTGGCTGTAGTTGAGCATAAAATAAATATTTGTAAACTCTCAAATGAGTCCAGTCGTACATAAAATATATTGTGTGTATTTTATCCATCAGAATACGAATTGAAACATTACGACGTCAAGAATTACAATCAGGAAATGAAAATTTACGATTACGCTTTCATCAGTACGAATACGAATTCACAGACGGAACTTTACTGTCAAAAATACGTCATCACTTCACAGACATTATCCATCGAGCAGAAGAAACATCGATCAAGATCAAGACTGAACATGCTCAAGTTTGTAGCAGAGTAAAAACAGAGTAAAAGCACAAGAAGCTACAACAGAACAACAAGTGGGTTAATTAAAATCTATTGTAAAAATGTCTTGTCTTGCCACATTGAATTCGGGAACCGAACGCTGCTGTATAATATTGTGTAGAAACACCTCCTTTGAACAGGAAATTGCACCTATATGTTAGAAAACATAGTGGAGCCAGTTGGAAACATCAGACGTAACGTTATCCCAGGGCTAATTAACAAATATCAGGTTCTCTGTAGGTTTAGATTAAAACATTCACGACTACAGCCACAGCGAGCATCAGTCAGTCTTCATCTCAGCTGCATTTCAGACAATGGGTTTTTCATGAGTTATAATGGGTTATAATGAGCAAATCCATCCACGTCACGGTGACGTTATACTTACCGGTAAATACTGTAAACATACCAAGGTGTTGCCTGTAAACACGAACATTAATTGATGCTAGAAGCTGCATTAAACTGTAATGTGGAACATTTCATTGGCTGTGACGTCTGTAACCAGGACAGTTTGGTGTTTGGGGTAAACTGGGACATTTCAGCGTCCGGAGGAACTGTTGGTGTCATTTCATGCGAGAAATGCAGCTGAAGGTTCAGACTGGCTGATGTTCGCTGTGGCTGGAGCCGTGAATGTTTTAATCTAAACATACAGAGAACCTGATATTTGTTAATTAGCCCTGGGAGAACGTTACGTCGGATGTTGCCAACTGGCTCCACTATGTTTTCTAACATATAGGTGCAATTTCCCGTTCAAAGGAGGTGTTTCTACACAATATTATACAGCAGCGTTCGGTTCCTGAATTCAAGACATTTTTACAATAGATTTTAATTAACCCACTTGTTGGTCGCTGTTGTAGCTTCTTGTGCTTTTACTCTGTTTTTACTCTGCTACAAACTTGAGCTGCACAGTCTTGATCTTGATCGATGTTTCTTCTGCTCGATGGATAATGTCTGTGAAGTGATGACGTATTTTTGACAGTAAAGTTCCGTCTGTGAATTCGTATTCGTACTGATGAAAGCGTAATCATAAATTTTCATTTCGTGATTGTAATTCATGACGTCGTAACTTTTCTATTCGTATTCTGATGGATAAAATACACACAATATATTTTATGTACGACTGGACTCATTTAAGAGTTTACAAATATTTATTTTATGCGCAACTACAGCCAAATATGCACGGATTTCCCAAATACGCACAGATTTAAATTTTATGCGCACAAATACTTTTGACAGCTTTCTTACTCCATAGACAACACAATTCCATTATTCAAACATTAAGCCCTGCAAAACTTCTGAAGTACAAAACACACAAAATTACAACTATTCCAATAATACTACCCCCGAGTGAAAATGAACAGTCTAAGCATTTTATGGAAACTAAGCTGAGTCTGTTCTGTGTTTTTGTCGTGTTGGAGATGGTCCGTGTGAAACTTTTCAGAGATTATACGTCTGCAGGTCGTACACACTGAGACACATGTTAATGATTGACGTTTATTCATTTGACAATGGACAGATATTCTAGCCTCTTAGTGTTTTGGCGGTGAATTACTTTGCGGCGCATAGAACTACATCAGTATTTCCAGGCGTCCACACGGTGCCGGATCAGATCTGTACTACAGATGAATTCATGGGAGTTGACGGCACCAGATCGTTCCGTCTCTGGAGCCGTTTTCCATCGGATGAGTGTGAACGAACACTGCATCCACAACGAAAACGACTCAGATACGAACTAGTGTGGACGGGGCCTAAGTTCAGTAGAAGATCGTCAGTTCCAGAGCTGAAATCATCCAAATGATTCTAGTGAAGGTGTGTGGAGTTTAAAAACACAGTGGAGCACTTCCCGTATTACCACATGACATCACAAGGTGGAGCAGAGTGTTTTTAGTTTAAGAGAAGAACTCAGCCTAAATATGCAGGATTTGTGTGTTAAATAGGGCTGGATATCTTTAACAAGTTGCAGATACGATGCATACCTCGATACAGTGAGCTTTCCATTCGTTACGATGTATTTCAAATCGATTTAATGCAGTTCAGTAAAAAAAATATCATGCCTGTGATACTGAAAGTCTTTTTTAAACCACTTCTTGTGCAAAGAATCATCAAAACAGTGAAAATATCAAATGTGTCACATAAACAAGATTTATTTCCTCTAAACAAGCAACAAAACTGTAGCTGTAACAAAATAATTTAGTGAAATCAACCAAAAAATACTATATATTGATGCAGCAGTCCACGATATCGATACTGTATCATCACATTAAAGTAGGGATGTAACAATAACCGAAATATCGTGATATCGTATCGTCAAAGTTCTCACAATAATATCGGGGACCATCACAATATATCGAATCACAAGTCTCTTTGTTTAAATTAAGAGTATGGTGCAGCAACAGCTAAAAAAAGACAGAGGACTACATAGACCATGATCCTTTGCTCCATTTCAGTGCAGACGACAAGAAGAAATATAAGTTCTAAGCACTTTTAAATTTTAGTTCTTTGGATTAAGTCTTGTCAAAGCATTTTAAGAGGAAAAAGTCGCATATTAACAGTCAAAATATCGCAGTAAATGGATATTGTTACATCCCTAATTGTGAGCCTCCCGACCATATCGTGAGCTTTTGCACAATATCACCATAAATATCGTACCGTGAGGTTCATACCGTGACGATATCGTATCGTGAGACTTGGATATCGTTACACCGCTACATTAAACTATACGATATCCAAACTCTGGAACGCTCTGCCCCTGCACGTCTCCCCACAGTGGAGTGTTTTAAGTCTTGTCTTATTCTCGTCCCCTTTTATTCTGTGGCTTTTAACACCGTGTGAGTTGCGTGCTCCTCTGTGTCTTTTATTTATTTATTTTATTTATTTATTGTTTTTATCTATTTTTTAGTACTGCTTTTATGTATTGATTTTATTTATTTTTTTCATTGATTTTATTATTATTATTTTATATTGATTCTGTTAGTTTCCTCATAGTTGAAACATAATTCAGCTTTTTTTTTTTTTTTTTTTTTTTTAAGCAAGCACTTTGGAAACTGTTTTGTTTATAAAATGTGTTACACAAATAAAGTTGGATTGGATATTTTTTTTATATTTTTGCACACTCCTAGTGTCGCACATTTTTAACAAACATGTGTGACTGAAACAAAACACAACTCCAGGTCGGTTTGTGATGACGAAACAACATTATAACAGATCAGAAAATAATGTCATATAGGAATTAAGCTTTCATAAAAGTGACAGCTGGATTTGAGAAACAGAGAGCCTGTTTTGTACAGTAATTTTAACACTAACACTTGAGAGAATGTATTTGGTTTGTCCAATGTAATAACTATGTCTATATAATAATAAATAAATGAATAAATGTAATAACTATGTCTATATAATAATAAATAAATGAATAAATGTAATAACTATGTCAGTATAATAATAAATAAATGAATAAATGTAATAACTATGTCTGTATAATAATAAATAAATTAATAAATGTAATAACTATGTCTATATAATAATAAATAAATGAATAAATGTAATAACTATGTCTATATAATAATAAATAAATGAATAAATGTAATAACTATGTCCATAAAATAATAAATAAATGAATAAATGAAAGAGCGTAGGTCACAGTTGCGGCACCACAGATGCAGCGCCTTTGTTTATTGAAAAAAAACAAAACATTGTTCTGGAAAAATAAGAACATATTGTATAAATAGAAATAAATTAATTAATAAATAAATACACACTTTCACAAATAAATAAATAAATAAATAAGTACATCCATAAATAAACAAATAAGCAAACACGTCGTTTCAATAAATACACTTGTAAACTCTTCATTTGTCCCTGAGCACCGGTCTGTAGTGAGTGCAGAAGCTAACGGCAGTACTTGGACTTGTACTCTGTCTGGTCCCTGGTCTGGTCTTTGGTCCGGACTCAGGTCTAAACCCGGATACCCCCCCCCCCCCGGTTCCAGTCCAAACTTACAGAGCGAAGACCCCGAAGAAGGTCTCGCCGTTATCGTCGTCCAGGTTGGACCGGATGTTGGGGTTCTCCGTCAGGTTTACGCGAAGTCGATCCCCCCGCTTCAGGTTGAACATGGCGCCCACGTAGACCCCGGTGAACCAGTGGCCCTTGTGCCGGTGTCTGTGGCAGGCCGTCCTCACCGAGTGCAGGATGGAGTTGTAATCCTCCTCCGGCTCCTCTCCGGATCCAACCGAATCGGATTTGCGTTCCACCGTGTGACTGATGTGCACCAAGCCGCCGCTCTCCTCTTCTTCCTCCTCCTCCCCGTCTTCTTCCTCGCTGCTGCAGGTGAGGCGGTACGAGGCCTGGCTGTAGACGAAGTACGGCCCGCTCAGGGGAATCACGATCTCGTTGTTGTCCAGCGTCAGCTCGCCCTGGGAGTACGACTGGTCTGTGTCCTTCTGCCAGCGCACCGTGCCCGTCTCGTCGTCGTATTTACCTGCGACAAGAAAAGCTCGGGTTAGTCACCGGATCTGACTCACTCACGAAGGTTTTGTTTAGCAAGATTCATCAGCCGGTTTCAGTTCGTGGAAACCGTCTGACCTCGCAGCATTAGGATTCGTCCGCTCGACAGTAGGCAGGTACTTTTTTATTTAACCAATCGCCGCTGTTTGGTCGTGACGTTTGTAATGCGCCAAATCTCGTAGGAAGAAGGACAATAACGTCTTTCACCAAACATTCTCTTTGTTCCGGCTTTAAATCCTCGATCTCGGAATGTCTGGCTCTTTGCTGATTGGCTAGTGCCCAAACTCGCACTCGCACTTCTCTTTTGGGGTTTTTTTGCGAACCGTCAAGTGCGGGCATGTCCAAACTATGGGTCAAATCCGGCCCTCAGACAAATTTTTCCAGGTGAATTGGCCCAAATCACCTTGCATTAAGTAAAATTTAACTTTTTACTGCAAGTGTTTTGAAAATCTGCCTTGACTTTAACGTAAATAAAGGACTGATGAGTCATTCTAACGTGTTAAACCTGCACATATTTCAATTATTCACTGTTTTGAGCTCCAATCTACGGCCTTCGATCAGTCTGTCCTTTGCTCGTCTGTGTTTAGATTTGTGGCCCTTGATGAAAACGTTTGGACACGTCTGGTCTAGTGTATCTGATTCCTGACCTAGTCGCTGGAGAGAAATGAAACTGAGTGGATTTGATCATTTAATTTGTTTTACGTTATTCTCCAAAAGCCCAAACTATTAAAGCTCCAATTTTATTCTGTTTTCTGATCTGTTATAACGTCGTTTCCTCATCGCAAACAGACCTGGAGTTGTGTTTTGTTTCATGTTTAACTCACAAATCCTGCGTTTTTACATTTTTTTAGTTTTTCTCTCAAACTGAAAACACTCTGTTCCACCTTGTGATGTCATGTTGTAACCCAGAAAGTGCTCCACTCTGTTTTTAAACTCCACACACCTTCACTAGAATCATTTAGTTGATTTCAGCACTGGAAAAAAAAAACAATATCTAGTCCAAACGATAACGATATCCAAATCTCTCGGTACGATATTATCACGATATTCTTCTCACGGTTCGAGGCTGATGTAATTTTTGCTTTTAAAATAGCTTGACAAGATTTTGGTGTGAATTATTTCCATCATAATCCCAAGAATTCAAGTAAAAAACGTATTTCTTCATGTTGTTTGCGCTGAAATGAATCATGGGATATGTAGTTCCCGATGTTTATAAGCTGTTTCTACTATAAAAATGTGTGATTCGATATATTGTGATAGCCTGAGACTTTTGGCGATACGATATCACGATATTTCGATTTATTGTAAAATAAAATGACTTAAATTAAGAACATTTGACTTTATTTGAGTCGATTCAACTTGACAAGTCAAATTATCTGTGCGTTTTTCTTAATTCAAGCAACATTTGGTTTTCTCTTTTCTTATTTTAAGTAGAAAAATCTTGTTTCATTTGCAAATAATTTTACTTTTGAAGTGAAATTGACTCAAATCATGATAAAACTTTCTTAATTCAAGTTGCCTAGATGTTGTTTTTTTGCAGTGAACCCCCTGGAAACGTCAATCTCTACTGAAAAAAATGTACAAATGAGCTGATAACTTCTGTTAAACTACCACTTCATGACATCACAAGGTGGAACTGAGCATTTTGAGCTTTGGAGACGTACACACACTAATAATTAAACATCTGTGAATGAAACGAAACACAAATCAAGATGTTTGTGATGAGGTAACAGCAAAATAAACACCGTAATTTCGTGTTTTATTCTGCGTTTTTGTAAAAATCTAGTCAGAAATCTGAACCGACAAGCAAAATATGAGAATTTCAGAGCGAGTTTGAACAGAATCCGATTATTATGAAAAAATAAATCACACATCTGTCATGAATCCGTCATCGCGTCACATTTAAACTCAACGCCTACGAGTTTCTCTCTGCTCTATAAATAAAACTCCACTCACTGCATTCTGAGAAGTAAAAGTACGCATACCAGAGTAACAAAAAGTAAAAATATAACATCAAGAAATCTAATTATGTAAAAGTATCTATAAATAAAACTCCACTCACTGCATTCTGAGAAGTAAAAGTACGCATACCAGAGTAACAAAAAGTAAAAATATAACATCAAGAAATCTAATTATGTAAAAGTATCTATAAATAAAACTCCACTCACTGCATTCCGAGAAGTAAAAGTACGCATACCAGAGTAACAGAAAGTAAAAATATCACATGAGAAAATCTGCTGACAAAAGTACTATAGTATTTGTTTAAAAACGCACTTAAAGAGTAAAAAGTTAAAGTATTTTGTGCATATTTTGAGGTCCAATTTTAACGAAATCGAAACGTAAACAACTGAATTTTTTATTTGCGTTTTTTTTTTTGTTTGCTCAAATAATTATGCGATAAAAATAAAACCTTTAGACTTTTCAGCAGAACTCAAACTGTAATAAAAAGTACTTTTACTTTCCAGAAATGTAGTAGAGTTGGAAGGACGTAAAAGTAAAAAGTATCCACAGAAGTAAAGCGCAGATACTTAAGATTTATACTTTACTACTTTTACTTCGTCACGTTACAACACTGTCTTAATACTACAAGCAGTATTTGTACTAGTACTATGAAGTATTATAATATTTCAGATATTTACCGTCCAGATGAATGGCCGCTCTGACGTGAGTTTGTCTCATCGAGAGTTTCAGCGCTGAAAAAACAAAAAAAAAATCCAGATTATTTTCAAATATTTTGTCGTTTAGAAAAGTGATATACAAATAAAAGTATTATTTATCAAGTAACAAAGTTTAAGAGTCAGGTTTGTGGAGAGGAGAGCTCACATCTCCAGTGTAATTAATGCAGCTAAGTTGAAAGATCTGGTCAGTTTGCAGGTTAAAAGTGACAGACTGTGGCTTTAAAGTTTTATAAAAGTAATATTTTAGCCAATACTTTTTATTTTTAGCCTTTATTTTTTTCTTTTGCAATTGAATCCAGTCACAATCACAACCAAAATGTGTGACGTTTGTGGTTAAAAGTGACATTTTGTGGTTTTAAAGTTTTATAAAAGTAACATTTTACATTTTTAAAAACATTTTTTCTTTCTTTTTTCCAATTTAAAACAGTCCACAAACTTGACAAATCTTCAAATCACAATCAAAATGTGTTTAAGGCATTCACATTTTGCACCAATTTAGATTTTTTTTTTTTTTTTTTATATAAATTTGACATAAAAAAAAAACATAATTTTTCATAATTTTATCACTCTGTGGCTTTAAAGTTTTATAAAACTAATATAATTTTTCTTTTTTCCAATTCAATACAGTCTGCAAACTTGATAAATCCTCAAATCACAATCAAAATATTCGACGTTTGTGGTTAAAAGTGACATTTTGTGGTTTTAAAGTTTCATAAAAGTAACATTTTACATTTTTAAAACATCTTTTCTTTCTTTTTTTCAATTTAAAACAGTCTGCAAACTCGACAAACCCTCAAATCTCTATCAAAATGTGTTTAAGACGTTCACATTTTGCACCAGTTTAGTCTTTTTTAACGTAAATCTTACATTAAAAACATAATTTTTCAGCATTTTATCAGTTTGTGGCTTTAAAGTTTTATAAAAGTAATATAATTTTTCTTTTTTCCAATTGAATCCAGTCCGTAAACTTGAAAAATCCTCAAATCACAATGAAAATTTGTGACATGAGTGGTTAAACGTGACATTTTGTGGTTTTAAAGTTTTATGAAAGTAACATTTTATCCAATTCTTTGTTTTTTATCCTTTTTTTTCCAATTGAAAACAGTCTGCAAACTTGACAAACCCTCAAATCACTATCAAAATTTATAACATTTGTGGTTAAAAGTGACATTTTGTGGCTTTAAAGTGTTATAAAAGTAATATTTCACATTTGTTAAACTTTTTTTTTCAATTTAAAACAGTCTGCAAACTCGACAAACCCTCAAATCTCATCAAAATGTGTTTAAACATTCAGATTTTGCACCAGTTTAGTCTTTTTTAACATAAATCTGACATAAAAAACATAATCTTTCAGCACTTTATCAGTTTTTCGAGTGTTTTCTCTTACCTCCCAAATGTTCATCTTTCTGCGATAAACCCTGTGCGAAAAAGACAAGCAGATATTTTAATCCTCTTCTATTCATTCCGCGTTGTAATCTGTATTTTTATTTTAATTTCTTTGCCGTTTCCTCACCTGATTCGCCGTCAGCAGCACGGCCGCCGCGCACCCCACCAGCAGCAAAGTGCACGCCAGCAGACCCAGGTTGGCCTTGGTGCACAGAACGAACTTCTTCTCCTCCTCCCTGCGCTCGCTCTCCTCCGCCATCGGCACCCTGCACTCTTTCTCCATCTCGACAGACATCCTTTTTTTTTTTTCTCTCTCTGTGTGTGTGTTCTCTATGATTTTTTTTCACTGAATGAG